TCGACGGCTCCAGGTGAGACACAAGCACTTGTTTTATGCCCACCGTCTCCTCTGGGCTTTAGTTGTCGCTTTGTCCTTCGGACCGAGGTCAGGGTAGTCTGCACAGACAAGTAAAGGTACACTTGGGTAATTTTTTTACATGTCTTCTCTAAATCATGTATTTATTTAACCTTTGGTTTCTCTCAGTGAATTGTGATTTAAAGTATACCAAGACCAGTTTATTTTTATTTTTTTTTTTAGCTCTCATTTTATTTTTTGATTCTCTCTTATGTAGCACACTGTCTGTAAACAAGGGTAGCTGCAGGCCTAATGAAATAGTTGGAAACCAAATCTTTGTGCCCTGTACTTTAATCTGTAAAGCCTGTGATGTAGCAAGGGAGATTAGTTCGTATAATTACATATATGTTTAGGTAATAGTTTCTTTCAAATTTTTCCTTGTAAGCTAATCTCTTGAATATTCTGTAAATAGTGTGCTTGGTTTTGTAAGTTGTGATGCCAGGCACATGGGTCTGTGGAAAAGCTTCTGTAGGTTCAGGCCCTTTACCAGTAGTCGTAGGCAGGAAACTTGAGCTTGCACCCACATGGTCAGTGTATGTATGTTTCAGTCTTAGCTTGTCAAGCCCGCTTTCTGCTGTATTTTCTAGATTTGAATATGGAATTGTCAGCATGCCTCAGGACTGATCTGCAGCTTTTCCTTCTCTTGCCCCTGAAATTTTTAGGGCAACGGTTTGCAGCAAGACTGTGTTCAGATTTCTTTGTGAAAGTTTGATTGAGACATATAAATAATTCCTCTTAAAAACTTTAGTATAATTTCATATCATATGTCCTGATGCCTTATAGTAGTCCTATTGGGGAGATATGAAATAATTTCTTTGTGTACATCTAAACTGTATTTGGTTTGGGGAGCAAAACTGTCACTGCTTTGTCTTGCTTGTCTGCAAAAGCCACAAAAGGTTTTACTATTTTTATTCAAGACTTCAGTAGTTTTGTCATTCGGACAAACACTTGTGGAGAGCTACGTTCTGCTCATGTGGGGCAAGAGGTCACACTGTGTGGATGGATTCAGTATCAAAGGTAAATGCAAACCAAGATGAAAATGGAGATGCTTGTTTGCCATATTCAGTATGTGCTCTAGTCTTGGATTCAAACACTTCTTTTTATGCTTCAGGCTGTAGAATCATAGAATGGTTTGGGTTGGAAGGGGCCTTAAAGATCATCTAGTTCCAACCCTCCTGCCATGGGAAGGGACGCCTTCCACTAGACCATATTGCCCAAAGCCCCATCCAACCTGGCCTTGAACACTGCCAGGGATGGAGCATCAACAGTTTCTCTAGGCAACCTGTTCCAGTGTCTCACAGCTCCCATAGTGAATAAGTTCTTCCTTCTGTCTCCTCTAAATACCCACCTTTTCATCTTAAAGCCATTCCCCCTTGTCCTATCACTACATGCCCTTGTAAAAAGCCCCTCTCCAGTTTTCTTGTATGCCCCCTTCAGGTGCTGAAAGGCTGTTAAGAAGTCTCCCCTGAGCCTTCTCTTCTTCAGGCTGAACAAGCCCAACTCAGACTGTCTTCATAGGAGAGGTGTTCCATCCCTCTAATAATTTTTTGGGCCTCCTCTGGACCCTCTCCAACGGGTCCATATCTTTCCTGTAGTGAGGGCTCCAGAGCTGGATGCAGTACTGCAGGTGGGGTCTCATGAAAGCGAAGTAGAGGGGCAGAATCCCCTCCCTCGACGTGCTGGTCGTTCTCCTTTTGATACAGCAGAGCACATGGTTGGCTTCTGTGCTGTGAGTGGACACTGCTGGCTTATGGTTAGCTTTTTGTCAACCAGCACCCCTGGGAAGGTCTCCCATTTCCTTCTGGAGGGGACTCATGTTTTCCCTTGTCTTCCCTTTATCCCCAGTGTACCTGTAGAAGTTTTTCTTGTTGCCCTTAATGTCATTGGCCAGATTCAGTTGTGTCAGGGCTTTAACTTTCGTAACCTGATCCATGGCTGCCCTGTCAATGTTCTGCCTAGGCTACCTGTTCTTGCTTCTACCCTCCTTTTTTTTTTTTTCTGGAGTTTGTTCTTCATCCACATAGGCCTCCTGGTGGTCTTGCCTGGCATCCTCTTTGTTGGGATGCATTGCTCCTGTGCTTGAAGGAGTTGATCCTTGAATATTAACTAGCTTTCTTGGACCCCTTTTCCCTCTGAGGCTTTATCCCGTGGTACTCCTCCAAGCAGATCCCTCAAGAGGCTGAATTCTGCTCTCCTGAAGTCCAGGGTAGTGAGCTTGCTGTGCATCCTCCTCGCTGCCCTAAGGATCTCAAACTCCACCATTCTGTAGCCTGTGCAGCCAAGGCTGCCATCAAGCTTTGCATTCCCCATGAGCCCCACGCTGTTGGTGAGGACAAAGTCCAGCATTGTCACTCCTTGTTGGTTCCCTCCATTGCCTGGAGAAGGAAGTTATTGTCAACATGTTCCAGAAACCTCCTGGATTGATTGTGCCCTGCTGTGTTATCCCTTCAAGAGGTACTCGGGTGGTTAAAGTCCCCCGTAAGAACCAGGGCTGGTGAACATGAGGTGGCATCTATCTGTCTGTAGAGGGCCTCAACCACTTTGTCTTCCTGGTTGGGTGGCCTGTAGCAGACACTGTACTGTCCCCTGTCCCTGGCCTCCCTTTAATCCTGACCGATAAGCTCTAAATTGGCTCCTCATCCATCCCCAGCCAGAGCTCTGTGCACTCCAGCCGGTCATTGACAGTCACTGCCTCCTCATCTCCCCAGCCTGCCTTTCCTGAAGGGCCTGTATCCTTCCATTCCAACACTCCAGTCACAGGAGGCGTCCCACCACATCTCCGCGATGCCAGTGAGATTGTAACCCTTTAGGTATATGCACACCTCTAACTCCTTCCACTTGTTCCCCATGTGACATGCACTGGCATAGAGGTGTTTAAGTTGGGCCCCTGATGATGCTGGCTTACTGGCTGGAGTGGCTGGAAGTCCTGTCTTTTCATACCCTGCAGTAGTTGCTTGTGAAGTGAGTAAACCAGTTGAGAACTGTGCCAGATCAGTATTTAAGATTTCAGTTTAATACAAATCTTAATTGATCCTCATTATAGCACTTTAAAGCAGTTAAATATTATTACCCTTGTTGTATAGGGGAGAAAACAAGTAATAGCATATTTATAGCAATTCTAACAGCTGTGAGAAAATAGCATCTTTTACATAACATCCTTAAATTTTAAGCAAGTGATGTTTGTCTCTTCAACTATGGCATCCAATGATGCATATTTAAAGAATGAAAGCTTTGCTTAAAAAAAAGAAATACTAAAAGGTAATGAAACTTTTAAGAAAAGTAGCTGGGGCAATGTTAATTCTAATAGTTTGCTATAGGTGGCATGATATAATCACTCCTAATCAAATTGAATGTTTTGTAAATGTTGGTTGAAAAGCATGTCTGCATACAGCATGGAGTTCCAGGAAACAGAGTTAGGATTGTTGCAATGCAATTGTTGCAGTCTTGCTTTTAAAGACGGGCAGAGTGTGTTCTATTTGACAGCTTCCTGATGGGTTAAGTACAGTGGTAGTTGTCTCCACTGCAGCTGAAGAGTTCAAGATTTATGATTCTGGGTCTAGGAGTGTGGATTGTTCTTGTGACACTTTTAACGGGACCAGTGTTCTTACTTTGTGGTTGGAGATTTTTTATTTGTTTTTGTATCCATGTGAACTTTAGTTTTATTGCTCATCTAAATGTGATGTTTCCCAGTAGGAAATTGCACATGTTAAAAAATCCCTGCTCTACATGGATTAATGTTCAAGTTAAAATCCTGCCTCTCCTGGTTATTTGCACATGTTTGTCTGTGGCTACGCAAAATCTGAAATAAATTATTCAGTTTAGATTCAGGTGTGGGAAAAGTATTTGTATGTACATTGCTTGGAAGTGCTTTGAGATTAGTCACAAGGTACAGAAAGTAGCTAATTGCCATGTGCTTTGGCTTAAAAAGGAGAAAGCTGCTGCATTCTTGAAAAAAACTGTTCTTCCTTTTGTGTTTTTCATGGATCAGACAAGGTCTATTTCTGGTTTTGAGGGATTTCCAGGGACTGATCCAGGTCATCATTCCACAAGATGAGGTAAGTGCTACTAAAATATGAGTGTCTCTCTTATTTTTCCTTTTCCTTTGATAGCATGGGTCCAGCAGACAGCGAGTACAGAATGAAGTACTTTGTCAGACTGAGTGCTCTGACTCACAAGTAGGTTTAAGTGTTATGAGACCCCTGATCTGAGATAGTAATGGAAACATAAATGCTCTTTCCTCTGGCTTAGGAGGAATGATCCTGGAATCAAATAGGCTGTTAAGAAATGAGGCCCCTGAACATGGTGTGTTTATCCTGTTTGAATTTCTGTGAGACATTGTCATCTCCTTGCAGGCACATTCCCATGTGAACAATCTCTTGTCTAATGCCCCAGTGGAGTCTGTTGTTCGAGTGACTGGAATTGTGTCACTTCGACCCCCAGGGCAGGAGAATCCGGTGAGGATGCTGGGGACACTGAGGGGTTTTATTCCTTGTGGAAAAGAGCACTGGACAATAGAATTATGGTGGGCTTTGTGTCATGGCTTTGCCGTGGTTTCTGGGTGACAGCCTATTCTCGGGTAATGTGAGGTAACTGCTGTGACATTGAATTTAGGAAAACCTCAAAGTACACTACAGATACCCACAAATTAAGTTCTGTTCCAGCCCTTTGGAAGAATAATGGCTAGATTCTTCAGGCTTTCAAAGTGTGGTTGAGAATTTCTTTTTCTTGAAAATAAGTGTTGTCATCACAAGTTCCACAGCATGCCATGACCTGTTTTTCACTCCAAATAGATTTTGCTTTGCTTGTTGTGTAGGAAACAGGTTAAATACTTTTCAAAATGGCATGCATTACTCAGCTCTCACTGCAATCAGCGGTAGGTTAATGTCAGGATTGTATGTATCCTATCACTGGCAGGCTTAAAAAGAGAACCTGGATTTATGACCAAAACAGTTTTTTTTTTTTTTTCTCTGACCACTTACAGATATGCATAAAGAATGCAGGCTTTAAGCAATGCTTTTATTTCTTTTAATCACTTACCATTTTATTGGAAGGTGGTATATACTTTCCCCTGGCAAACAGAGTTCTGTAGGATCAAGTGAACTTTGATGTGGCACAGTGCTAAGCGGGGGAAGCTATCTGTTCTCCCATGGGATCTAAAAAGACTAATTCTGAGAACTGGTACTCAGAACTAGAATTTCCGAGAAGTTCCTCAAAAGTTATCTTTTTTGACGTGTATTAAGGTCTGATTGTGATGCTGCTAATGCATACTAGAAGGTATTCTGTGTGGTTCATTGAAGCAGAATGTCCTTAAAGGAGAAGGCGAAGTAAATATATTTCTTGTAGAGATCGGTATGCTACTGGGAAAGAGCATGCCATCTTTGGTGAGTTCTCTGAGTTAACACTGTGTTAGAAGGCAGGGAGGATAATCACATCAGATGGGTGTTTTGGTGTCACTGCCATCACACCCCCCCCATCTGTGAAATGCCTTTGTCCAATTGTTTTCCTTAAGTTAGGAATCTAATTTTTTTACTTGTCTTTTTGCTCCAGAAAATGCCAACAGGGGATATTGAAGTGAAGGCAGAGACTGCAGAGATCCTGAACTCCTGCAAGAAGCTACCTTTTGAAATCAAGCATTTCATCAAGGTGTTCATGTTTGTTTCTTTGTGTGTTTTGTTTTGTTTTGGCTTTTTTGGTGTTTGTGTGTGTTTGGTATTTTGTTTTGGTGGTGTTTTTTTTTTTTTTTTTTTTTGTTTGTTTGCTGTTCTCCAAAGTGATGGCTTTTCAATAAATTGGGAATTTGCCCAGCATGATGGCTGAACTTCTGAGCTGCTTCTGATTATCCCAGTTCTGCCTTGGGGGAAGGATGGTATTTAAAATGGGAGTGCTTCTTGGTAGCTGTGAGGATGTATTTCTAATTAAAGTTAAGCAGAAAACAAGGCTTGAATGATTCCAGTGCATAGAGTGTTCAAATATCACTGTAAGAACAGATGATAAAGGGAAGAGTAAAAGAAATGAGACTATGCTAGCTTTTTTGCATGTGAAACGGAACCTGTCAATGCACTGCTCTGTTTTAAGGCAAGGGTGCTTAGTCTTGCCTGGACAATTAGTTTGGCAGACTTTCTTTCTAAGTATGGTCTTACAAGAGGTTAGTTTTAGTACAGCCTCTATGGTGGAGGAGTGGCATTGCTGTTAACTGAAGATGCTCTCTTTGCCATTGAAACTGTGGCTGATACACAAGTGTCAGAATTGGGAGAACTGGGTCCTGTTCCTTCGGTATTATTGTCCTGGACAATTCCCATCATTTTCACTACTTTAGACTTTCTGTCTGTGATAAGGATGCTTCACCATTTAGTTGTTCCTTTAGATCTGTGCATGATAGCACTCCTCTGCTTAAAAGTAGCAAGGAGGTGCTGCATGCTCTTGCAGTGGACTGAGAATAAGGAGGGCTGAAATTCTCATGTGTATTCAACTTTACTGAAGCAGCTTTCATCACTATAAATGTCTTTTTTTTTTTTTTTTTTTTTTTTTAGGCAGATGATGTCTTTTTTAGTAATTGTCATGCATGGGAACACTCCTAGTTTCATATTTGTAGGTTGTGGGTGATAGGTAGGCTCTGGTAATAGAGCAGCGTTGTTTTTTTTGCTTCTTCCTTTTGTTCTGTGACTTCAGGAGCAGCTTCATTTGAGGCGCAATTTGAATTTTGTCTCTTAATCCTAATTATCTCTTATCCTCAGAAATCAGAGGCCTTACGGATGCAGTATCGCTACTTGGACTTGCGTAGCTTCCAGTTACAGTATAACCTGAGGCTGAGATCACGTGTTGTGATGAAAATGCGGGAATATCTATGTAACCTCCATGGTAAGAAAAGTCCTTGAAGAACAGTGTGCAGCAAAAAACCGTTTTGGCTCCTCCCTTCTTCTGTTTCCTGTTGCTGAGAGAGGTTGCCAATCAACTTGCTACTCCAACTGGTCCTACTTAGTAAAGAGGAAGGATATGTCTACTTGCAGTGTGGTCTTTAGAGATGTTGCCAGACCTGAAGAACAAGTATGTTGAAATCTCTTGGTGTGCTACAAACCAGTTATTTCAAATGAGCTATATCCAGTGAGAAAAGGCCTTTTGCAGATAGTTTCCCTCTTTTGGTCAGCCAACTTGAGGTATGTCAAAGGGATGAGTTTCTTATAGGGCTTCTTAAAGACAGGAAGTCCTTTGTGGAAAATCAAAGCCTAGTTCGAAATAGAGAACTAATAATTTTTCAGCCTATGTGGAGTCCTCTGGTTAACAGTTCTGGCAGGACATCAGGGTAGCTCAGAGCCTTTAAATCTGCTATTACACAAGTTATTCTTGGAAGCAGTGAAACGTGTAGATTTTGGAGAGGTTACATGGTGTGCTAGATTACCTGTTTTGCTGACTAACCCTACGCTAACCTAGTCTGTCATACTAGTTCTCCCCGATTTCTGCATATTCTGTGTCTGAAGCATGTGTTTATTCCTCAGGGTTTGTGGATGTAGAAACTCCAACACTCTTTAAAAGAACTCCAGGGGTATGTATTCTGTTTGTAAAGCATTACAGCCTCCTGCAATTCCATAGGCACTTCAGTTGAATTATTGTCAATTGTCACTTGGCCTTCATTGCTGTTTCCTCATTAAGTAAGAGCTTGTGCAAATTTCTGATATGATACGTGGATCCTTTAAAACGTAGAGGGTGTGAAAGGGAAGAGGTGATATCCTGGGTCTTAATTTTGAACCTTCAATGAATAAAGCATCTGTCTTGTGGAGTGCATGTTGAATTCAAGTCCTGTCGTGGGACAGGTAGATTATTATTTGGCAAAACCAAAAGTCTTCCTCTAAGTATTCTTTCCCAGCATTTTTCTCTTACCTAGTAGTTTACTGCAGTGGCAGTACTCAATTTTAATTTCTGAGTCTATATTCCTTTCTTCCATTTAAAAAGTAATCACAGAGAACTGTAGTCCAGGAACTGTTGATGCAGCTAATACTTAGAGTTCTTGCATTTAACCCCCAGCCTTGGATGGTGTATTGTTATGCATTAGTGTCTCAGAGCAAAAGATGGAGAATCCTCCTTTGGGATGTTTGGACCAAGCTGGTTAACAGATTTGAGTGTAATGTAGAAACAGCCATTTCCTCACAAGTGGGATTTCATAATTGGGAAAACAGGTCCTCTCCTCTTGCGCTTCTAGTCTGTGCTCTCTGTCAGGCATTGAGGGCACTTACTTGCTGAACTGTGTAAGCTTTTCTTTCTAATGCTAGGGAGCAAAAGAATTCCTTGTACCCTCGAGGGAAGCGGGCAAGTTCTACTCTCTGCCACAGAGTCCTCAGCAGTTCAAGCAGCTTCTCATGGTTGGAGGTCTGGACAGGTAATTGTTTCTCGGATTCCTGTTCTCCACATGTCCCATCCAGGGTTTGCTTGCTCTGGTCTGAGGTTTTTAGATACTTCCCCAAAAACCTACAGCCAAGGCTTTTGTGTTTTGAAGAGGAATCCTTCATTACTTCAGATTTTTCAGGCAGACCATGCCCTTTGCCTCCCCACCCAGCAGTAGTGCCTCCCAGTTAGAGAGGAAATGTATTCTGTTTGAAGGTTGAAACCTTCTCGGTTGTTTTAAATGGAAACCTGATCTGAACCACAGTCTGCCTGAAGAGCAGAAAATCTAGTGTGTGATAAAAGCCTCTCCAAGATTAACCTGTAGAACTAATTGAAATGAGGCTGGGCAGCTGCGCATGACTGAGGCAAGGTAAATATGCTCTCAGAGGGTACATGAGTACAAAGCTTTTAATTTGGCTGGTTTCTCCAAATAGAATTGAAGGAGAGGGAGACAGTTTTTCACACAGTGAACTGCAGGCCACTCATTCAACATGAGTGAATTTTGCATGGCTGTTAGTGGAGTCCAGGTTTGGAGTGGAACCTGGAAAAAGGGATTGTGTATGCCTCTGTTGGGAGGCAGCCTCCACATGCCTCTGGAAGATATGATTGGAGATTGATACAGCTGCTGGTGGAGTTGCTTCCGCGCAAAATTTCATGCCTTTGAGGGGATGGGAACAATCAGGGCTATAATCCTCTGCTGCAAAGGGAACAGAGGAACAGAGCTCTCTCCCTGCCTCCCACCCCCTTCTTCTTTACATTATGATCAATTCTATAGCCACAATTTAATTTAAGGTACTTAAATTGTTATCTAAGTAAAAATATTATTGCAGGTACTTTCAGGTTGCTCGCTGCTATCGAGATGAAGGTTCACGACCTGACAGGCAGCCTGAATTCACTCAGGTAACCAACTCACACTGCCTTTTACCTTCCTCCTCAACCCAAGTAGCTTGTAGCTATTTTCCCTTCTGAAGGCTTAATTTCTGTTAGTTCTTGTGCTTCTTGGGTGGGGGGTGTTGCTTGCTGCATGCTTCACAGACATGTCCCATACTAGCTTCAAAGGGCTGTGTATAGATTAGCTACTATCCTTGGCTGTCATGTACATTAGATGATTAGATGTGGGAATTGTGTTGCAGCAGTGATTGTGCTTGATGATACAATATCTTCCTGCCCTGCTGGGTCAGCTGTCTCATTCCTCAGCCTTGAGATCGTGGGCAGAGTTAGCCTGGTTCGTTCAAGGCTTCTCCTTCTGTCCTTGTCATCATTACCTCATTCACTTCTCTGAGGAGAATGTTGCCTGAGTCATCATGCTGTAGGGAGGCCATAGCATGTCCCCAGCCTAATGCAGTCATGCTATAATTTCATGTAGTATATTGTTTCTTGTTATGCTAGCTTCATAGTCAAGAGCTTCTGCAAGTAGCAGTGGAAAGGCAAAATCTCTGTCTAATGTGGAATCTGCCCTCTTGTTTTCTGTTTTAAGATAGATATAGAGATGTCATTTGTAGATCAAGCTGGGATCCAAAGACTGGTAGAGGGCCTCCTGCAATATTCCTGGCCTGAAGAAAGAGGTTCCATTACAACTCCTTTCCCTTCCATGACGTATGAGGAGGCACTGGCTGACTATGGGACTGATAAACCAGACACTCGTTTTGGGATGAAGGTGAGGGTTTGCCCACTGGAAACTTGCAGATTTTCCTTTCTGTTAGTGTTTTGTTTGGATCATGTATACGTGATTGGTTGGGGTTCTTAATGCTGTAGTTTTCCCAAGGTGTTTGTCGCATCGTTGCTGCTTTGTAGAGGTAATTGCTTGGGGAAGAGAGGGTTTGATTGGTTGGCTGTGGAAAACATATGTTTTAAGAAAATTTTATTTTGAAGATAGTGTAGCGCTAGGGAGCAATGCATCTTGACTGTCTTAGGAACTGAAGCCCACAAGAAGTTCACAGGTAACCATAAGTGCTTTTACCTGGTGTACTCCAAGGCATACTCCTGGTGGGCATGCTTCATGAGATAGGCTTCTCCAGCCTTTTAATGGCCTGAAGGTATTTTCAAGATAACCAACTGTGGTTGTGTGCATACACTTTCTATATGAAATAAGAGTATGAAAGTATAAAACTAAAATATTGACAAATGTATTAAGACGATCAGTGCTGAAAAAAGTAGGAAGCATCTTAGGTTTCCCCAGGAATTAATTCTGGGGGTTTCTTCCTTAGTCTACAGCTCCCTTCTCTGTGGTAAGATGTCACCATCTCAATCTTGGGGTTTTCTGCCTGTCTTACATTTCTGTCTCTGCAGTGTTCAGCCTCCTATTGGTTATTCCAGCTTGGCCCTGTTAATTTCTTTCTGTGAACCATTTGATTTCTCTGAGCAAAGAAATGATATCCCAGGGAATGGTGTTGGAGGCTTTGACATAGGTGCTGGATTTTTGCTTCGTTTTCCTGAAGCAAACTGCTTTTTCCTGCGCTCTCTCCTTTCTTAGATAGTGGATATTAGTGATTTTTTACGAAGATTGGACATTCAATTTGTACAGAATGCACTCAGTTACCCACATGGCACTGTCAAAGCCATTTGTATTCCTCAGGGAGTGGTAAGTGATGCTTTTGCATACTGCTTATGGTTTATATGAAATAAATAAAATGCCAGTTGGAATTCCTTTACTGATAGGGAAATGTTCCTTGATATTATTGGAGTGTTGGTATCCTTTGGGGAATTGGCGAACTTGAGGATGGTTGTAATTGATGTCAGATTGGGCTGAGAGGTGTTGGAATGGAGGTGGTCAGCTGACAGGAAGAATATACTATCTTTAGGAAGGAGAGGAAAATAATAGAGCTGCAAGATCCCTTGAGGATAGGGAAGCCTCCCAGGGCTTCAGCTTGCTTCTGATGTGCATCTCAATAATAAATTATGCTCTGTGGCAAGAGATTGAAATAGAGCCAGGTATGGTACAGCTCTGTTCTGACCTAGTGAAAGAAAGTTCAGGTAGTTACATGCCCTTCTTATGTTTGCTTTTGCTGCATTTGTGGGCACAACTCATCTTGTGTAATGAGAATGGCAGAGACCAAATCCAAGGCTCACAATAGATGTAAATGATTATTTGACAGCTATATATTTTGGAATGGAAGCAGATTTAATTCTGGCGGTGGTTATATTTTAAGCTTGGGCATTATGGGGGAAAAAAAAATCTACTAAACTCTTGAGTTTTGTTTGGGGTATAGGACTTTCTGACGATTTCTCTGCATTCCTTTAATTTTGGTAAAAAGTGCAAGTTACTGGCTTCCCACGAGAGGGCGCTAGGGGGTGTGTTTGAGCAGAACAAAACTGGGCTCTCGAGCCTGTCTAGAGTAGATGAAAAAATCAAGATCTTGACACAGGTCCTGACTGCATTTCTTTGTGTGAGAGTGAGCCCAGTTGGTTTCCTTCTGTTGTTACTCTAAATTGAGCTATGCCTTCACCTTCAACAGTGTAGTGCTATAACCTTGTTTCTGCATGTTGGCAATTAGTTGTCATGATCTGACTCTGGTGACCAGCTGTATCTGATTTGTGAGCCGGGAGGGAAAGCAGCTTGATGTAAAACCTAGAGAGGTCTGTCCTGAAAGGAGCCCTTGGAGAAGATGCCCAGCTGCAGCCTAGTGCTGTGGGCCCTGTCCTGTTCCACAGCCCTCATAAGAACTTGTATTAGAAACAAAAGAGCTTGGGAAGTTTGGAAACAGCTTAGTCAGTAGATTTGAATCCGGGTCAGTTTTTCTGTAGACTTTGCTGATGTTTAATGTGTCTTCTCTTGCTCTTTCCCCAGAGATACCTTAAAAAAAAAAATTTGGAGTCACTAAAAGAGTCTGCAAAATCCCAATTTAACCAGGTGAGACCAAAACACTGTTGAGGCATTGGAAATGGTGAATGACAAAGTATGTACAAGGGCAATTGAAGGTGGAGGAAGGTAGAGCAGTTTTTAATACGGAGTCAGTGCCTGAGCATGTGATGCTTCAGGACGAGAGGGGGCAGCACTGGACTGAACATACTGATCTTTCTTCAGGAAATCGTGGAAATTATCTGCAGGCCTGATGGAAGCTTGAAGTCTCCGCTTACAAGGTTTCTTGGTGAGAAGCAGCAGATAGAGCTTGTCCAAGCACTGAACATGCAGGTGGATGATGTGGTACTGCTGGCTGCTGGTGAACAAAAGCAAGTGGTAGGAAGCATTCCTTGGGTGGATATGTGAGTTGAACGTTGCTGATGACAGATTTGTTACCTGACTTCAGTCTAATTCTTCTCACTGTTAGGTGATAATCTAATTCTAGGTTTCTTTGGAGCTGAGCTATAGCAACACAAATAATTCATGTAATCTACCTATTGCTTTTATTTCCCTTAGTCACATTCTGGGTAGAACTTGTAACTGTAATGAAAGCTGGATTATAATACGGGAACAAACTAGTGCTTCCTTTTCTCTCATCTTAATTTTTAAAGCATCAAATAGAGATTGATAAAGAAGGTCAACTAGGTAATCTCATCTCCCATAAGCAGATGACAAAGTGAAGCACAGCTGTTTATTAGCAGCAGTGATAGGAGATTCTGTCCAAACTCTTCTCTGTATTCTTGCCAGCAGACGTTGCTTTCCAGGCAATGGTTTATGACAAGGTGTTATGCTTTGCTTGATTGTCAAAATTTTGTCATATTCTTTCTGTGCCTTCATTTCTCTGTCTGCAAAGTGCAGATCTTACTTGTGCTTCCCCAGTTAATCCACATCTGTGTGGAGCTTGTGGTTAGTCTAGAAAAGTTCTGTGAAAGTGGAACAGTTGGAAGAAAATGGACTTTCCAGCTCCTTACTTGGTCTTTGTCAAACCCTGGAGATGATGCTGCCTGAGCAGGAAGGTGGTATATTTCAGGATGCGAGGGAAAAGTTTAAGTCAGCAGTGCATTACAGCTGATGCTGTCTGTGGTATGGAAGCCCTTTATGGAGCACGCTTGCCCTGGTCCACTCGTTCCCTGGTTGGTGCTTGAGCCACTTCCCTGATAGTAGATTGTCCCATGTCATTCACTCCCCTTCTCTTTTGCAGTGCTCTGCATTAGGAAGACTACGGTTGGAGACTGCTGACCTCCTTGAGGCGGATGGGCTGGTACTCCGTGATCCTGCAGCTTTGCACTTTCTGTGGGTGGTGGATTTCCCCCTTTTCCTCCCAAAAGAAGAGAATCCCACTGAACTGGAATCTGCTCATCATCCTTTCACTGCCCCTCATCCTTCAGATACCAGCCTCCTCTATTCTGATCCCACAAAGGTAACTAAAAGAGCCAACACAGCAGGCATAAAGTTATAACCGTGTGTCATGGAAAGCTAGGCAAGAAAAAGAGATGTTGTTTCATGGAACTGACTACATACAGTATGTGTCTGTCTGGAAGAGGCGACTTTGAGATTACTCTGAGTGGCAAATATCCATGTGTGCCCCGACAAAAGCGATTTATGGGAAACAGTTGCTTAAGGTGGAGTCGTATATTCCGAGTCATCCCATTTTTGCTTCATGTTTTCATAAACTTTGCAAAAGGATTTGTACTGTTCCCATAATCTGTCAACAGCAGTCCATGCCTTGGATAGGACTGGTAGTTGAACTGCAAGATACTGTTGAGGGCGGTGTTGTAGTATGTCAGGTCTTCGTTCCAGTGTCTTTGCCATCTGGATGGAGTTGGCTGTTACATCCATCTGTGCCCCAGCCTTGCTAAGGTGCTTGTTCATGTCTTTCTGCAGGTCCGTAGCCAGCACTATGACCTTGTGTTGAATGGCAATGAAATCGGAGGTGGCTCCATCAGAATTCATAGTGCAGAACAACAGCGTTTTGTGCTGGAGAAAGTGCTGAAGGTAACACCTACCTAGAGATGTCTCTAACATTCTCTTGAAGATTTAAAGGGCTAATTAAATATCCATTTCAAATTCTGAAAGAAACACTTGTGTAGAAATGTAGCTCCTAGCCCTGAGTGATGGATGACTTCATCATACCTTCGTCGTACATTGCTGGTAGGAAGAGTATTGCTTGTCCAGTGACACTTCTTACGTAATTTTACAGGAGGATTCTGAGGTGCTTTCCCATCTACTTGAGGCTTTGGAGTTTGGAGCTCCACCTCATGGAGGAATCGCTTTAGGTAAGTGCTCTAGCTCCCTAGATGCAGGTGTCTTGTGACTTTTTGGCATATTATATTTCAGGAACAAGCCTCATGCTGGTTTGCAAAGCCATGTCTTCTCCTGACAGAGACAGCTGTCCTGGTGTTGCTCTTTGGTACACCAGTATGGTAACAATGTGTGAGCTTACACAGTGCTTCCAGCTCTATATTTGTTTTGTAGAAGGAAATGGGTCTTGTCACCAGGTGCAGAATGTTTTGGTGTTCCTCCCCAGCATCATAGTGTGATTTAATTCTTATGCAAGGACCAAATCATATATTGGTGTCTCTAAGGATGATCCTTATATGCTGTTCTACAGTTATCTGTTAAGATTAGATCATCTTTATTCTCACTCATGTGCAGTCAGAGCAGGATCCCTCTACTGCATGCCTAAAGGCCTTGGACAGCATGGTACTTTGTGTTCCATGCCCTGGTTCCATGCTGCTGGCCTGTGATTCTGAAAACAGATTTGGTGTCAGATTTTTTTTTGTGGTTTTAAAAAAGATAAAAACAAACAAAAAACCCTGCACACCAACCAAAACAAAACTAAAGAAACAATCAAAACTAACAACTCCCTCCCCCCAAACCTGCAAATAACAAAGGTAGCATTTTAACCTATGGCCTTCCAGTGTGATTTCTCTCCATCTAATCACCCAGAGGCTCTTGTTCTTTTTTAATTGCTCCTAGCTGTTTTAATCCTTCAGAACTGGATGATCAAGAGCTTTGAGCAGTTAAGCAGAACCCTAAAGCCCTCAGTCTTCCTGCCATTTAGCTTCCCTGGTTTTGTTATGCTGCCTTTCCAAATGCACTTTCTCTCTTGTAGTCCTTGATGTGTTGCAGAACTTTGTGTAATACTGAATAGCTTTATTTTGCTAGGCATTTCTGGTCTTCAGGCAAATCTGTTTCTCTGCTACTAGTTAGGAGTGATTTATTTTTAGATTATTTTTTTCCCCCCTTACTTGCTTCACTTTTATCTTCAGGCTCAGTAATATTATCTACTATATCTTTCTGAATTGGAGGAAGTAACACAGGGCCATAACTCAAGTGGTTCACCAATTTGTTTTTTGCTTCTAGGACTTGACAGGCTGATCTCTCTCATCGTTGATGCTCCAAGTATCCGAGATGTCATTGCTTTTCCTAAATCCTTCAGGGGACGAGACTTGATGGGCAATGCTCCAGACTATGTCACTCCAGAAGAGCTAGAGCCATATCACATCCAGGTTTCCTGGCCTCTAGAGGAAAAAGAGGCAAAGACTTAAAGATAGTGCTGTAAGCCGATCTGTATAACCAGAGGTGCTTCTGAATTAAGTTCAGAAGACATGAATGGGAGTGTGAGGGACAGTACAACCCCACTGTACTATGACAGTTTCAGGATCAAATAGTAAATAGATCTGAGGGCTCCTTGATAGGAATTCAAGAATTTAGTTGGTAATGGAAAGGAGAGCTAGAAAAGCAAAGAAGAATATAATTTTAGCATAGGATATTGAGACTGTTGGCTTTGTGGTGTCATTGGAGGAACGATGAGATCTACTTTTATTTTTCTCACCACCCCCCCCCCCTCCCCCATGTCCCTTGCAAAGCATTTCTGCTCCCATCTGGAGGAGATAATGTCAGCTTCCCTGGCAGGATGGCTTATACTGCTGATGATCATTGAATCTGTTAGTTGAGGACTGCCATAATAAAGCAGTGCTGCACTGGGCCAAGAGCTCTGGACACTTCACAGCAGAACTTTATTATAGCCGGAAGCTTGTCTGATGTTGGAGGATACAAGATCCTTTAGAACTTGCCACGGGGAGTTCGTATTCCACTGTGTTCTCCCTTTAAAAAGGGGGAGAGAAGTATTCATAACATTGGCAACAATTGTCCTTGTAATACTTGTCTAAGAGGTGATGATCTGTGTTTGGGGCCTATGGTCCTGATGCTTTTCAGCATGCTAATTCTGAAGTTTGTATATTTGTAAATAAAGTTTATTTGGCAATATGTTTTTGACTGAGCTTGGCTTTAGGCTTCCTTTACAAGAGCAAGGTGTCAGTTTTTCTTTGTGACCCTTGATCACTCCAGGAGATGACAAGAAACCTGTGACAGCATAGCAGAGTTGCAGCAGCACGTTCCTCACAAGTAACTGTTCATTGCTGTCCCATGCCAGAACAGCCACAGTGCAGGAGCCACAGCACAAAGTAGAATGTGGGCTCTAGGAGCATCCTACCAGACCAACTCTGCTCTGTAGTGTATAGCAAGCCTTCTGCAGAGGCACTCCAGTAGATGTTCTTAACTCTGTGTTCAGGTTGGAGAAAGCAGAGAGTTGGTGGGACGAAAGGAGGGAGGTGAAGAAGCTGAGGAAAAGAGAAGAGATTACCTGAATAAGCTAGGAAGATGATGCAAAGGAAGAAAGGCAGAGCTACTGTGCCCCAGCTGGGAAGGACAGCAGGAGGCATCTGCCAGAGGAAGTGCATGAGAACAGAAGGAAGACTGCAGTTCTTGTTTGAGCTGATGCTGAATGTCAGCCTTAGGGTCACCTGCCAGATCCTAATGGATTCTGGGCTGCTCTAAGTGTTACCAGCTAATTCAGTCCCTGCATTGTGGGGTTACATTGCACAGTGGTGCACACTGTTCCTTTTTTTTTTTTAAATACTGGACTCTTGTGATGATAAGAAACAGTAAGGGAGGTGGCTCTCCTCCTTAAGGTTGTTTTGGGTTGGGGTTTTTTTGGTTGGTTGGTTTGGTGGTTTTGAGTACTTTATACAGGTGTAAAGTACCATCCATAGTCAAGTAACAGCAGAGCTGACTTGCAGCTGCTTTGCAGATTATAAGATGATGGAGTTGTATGTGTTAAAAGAAAACTTGAATCCCTATGTTAAGATTGTTATAGTCAGTTTCGGGGTATGGTTAAACACTATTAAAAAAGAAAAAAGGGAGAGAAAAGCAGCACAATCTTGGATTTGTATTCACATCATTCTGGCCAAACACTGAATTATTTTTGTTTTGTTTTGTGTGGTTTTTTGTTATTCCTTGTATGAGCTATTAACTCTTATCTTTAAATTAATTCACCTTTGGTTTACTCCCCCCTACCTCCCCAAGTAGAAGCTGTCAGTAAGGGAGTGAGGATCAGTTTTCAGAGAGAAGCTGAGCAGATACATGTTAATTCTTTTTATTTTAATTTTTCTTCATTTGTGGGAAGGACAGTCCCCTTGTGAGAGTTACAGCAGGTATTTTTGTTCCCTTAACTTGTAAGCTGGAGATATGGAATATAGCCACTGCAAGGCTGTGTATTGCATTTGGGCTGCTTTTTTAGAGGATGCTGGATTTCATTATTTAGTTTCATTACTGGTAATGAGATTAAAACTTGCATGGAATTTGCTTGAGGGTCATCTGTGTTCCTAAAGCAGGGGTGTCAGAGACTTGTTTGAGGACATGGCATCACAGAAAATAACGGTTATTCTGCTAAGCTTTTCACTCCCCCCCATTATTTATAGTAACTGTAAGCATAAAGTGCTGAACTTCTTATTTAATTGTGAAATAAGGAGTATTGTGTTATTTGGTTAGTAACTCTTTGCAAAGGCAAATGTAGTTTACATCTGAAGAGCCGCAGTTCTTTGAATTAGGATTATCATCAAATGTTCGAAGGGTAACTGATGCTCTAAGAGGCTTATGCAGAAATGGAAGACTGCCTCAAACGTTGTTCTTGAGAGCACTTGTTAAAACATGTGAGTAAGCTGTCTCTAAGGCATACACATCCCCTGTCTTGTGCAAGCTGTTCTGTGTGATGTTTGTTTACCCACTGCTATATTAAGGACTCACTGCAGTTGTGTGTCACAGCTACAATTAGCCAGAGTGAAAAAAAGATGCAACAAATCATGTCATCTGAGCTGCTGCAGTCCTGCCACAATTAGGTCAGTGGAAAAGATGTATCCCAAATTTGTAAGCCATCTGTGCTTGGATTTGTGAATGAAGGTGGCTTACTAGTGTGTGAATTTGTGGTTGTGTGAATGTTGCCACAGAGAAGACATTAATTGTTTGGGAGTTTTTTACAGGTGTCTGGATTTAGGACAATCTACTTGGTATAGTTAGCTGCATATTTTGGTAGAAGCAACAATAGACAGGTATTACAATAAAATATACAGAAATAAGGGGTGTTCATATTGCAGACCAGTATCTTGTGTTTGCTGTAGAAAAGCTGCTGGCCTGTGATTCTGAAAATAGATGTTAAAACCACAGCACAACATCCATCAGAAATTGAAAATAAGCTACAGTATAACTGCAAACTGCAGTCTTTCACAGAGCCCTTGTTACTTCTCTCTGCTTTCGTTTCCCTGTTTGAGACAAACCTATGGAGAAATGTTGCTTTGTCCACTATACTAGAAGATGCAAAGTCCTGGACTCTTAAGAGTTAATCTTTATGTGATCTTTTCATTAGAGGTACGATGTCATTGTGACTCCTCTGCTCTTTCTTCGACCTCTCTTCAGTGTGTGTGTATATGATGGACGAGATAACTGCCCAGCCTCTAGGCACTCTATCAGGAGCAGCTGGATTTGTTTGAAGTAGGAATCAACAGCTGGACACAGGTGCTGCCTGAGGATTTGGTTTGGGTCTCTACAGGTACAGATCAGCTTGTGATGGTTGAATGTGTTCCCTGACATAGTCTTCTTAACACCAGAGAACTTAATGACTAGTATACACAGGATTGTAGAAGGAGTGCTCTTGCAGGAGCCAGAGTTGTATGTGAGGCCTTTGTACTCTAACCCCACCAGCTTGCTGATTTTCTTCTGTTGGAACTGAAATAAACACTGGTAAAATGGAGAGACAGTTTATTCTCCACCTGTAGGGGACCTGGCTCTGCATGTTTCAATAGATTTGACTGGAACAAGCATCTAGTAAGTTTATACCACCCATTGGTGGTAACATCAGAGATGTTTCTGGTTTGTTTCAGTATTTTTTTTACTGCCTTTCCAGAACAGGAATGTAGCATGCTGGTGGGATTCTCAGCAGCTGAGGTGTGCTCTTTTCTTTCTGAAAAGTTTGTAAGCCTACCCAGAATATTTCAGATTGGGCCAAGATGGGAAGAGATTGCAGCAGTGGATTTCAACCATCCCAGATGGCTTGGGTGAATTTGGCTGTGAGGGTTTTGTACAACTGCCATAAAGACAGGAACTGTTTTCAGAACTCAAGCTGAAGTTTAATCCTATATTGTGCTAGTATCTCTCTAGGGTTAGCTAGATTATAATATAACTTCTAGCACCTTTGTGTGATCTCAGGCTGCAGGTACCTGGAGGTTTAGGGTGCTGATTAAATCCCAATTCTGTTGAAAACAGACCACTGCTATATGAAAATGTTATAATTTGTTACAAGTCAGCAGAAATTTTCAAAGAATGATTTTGGCTGTTTGCAGCTGGGTTTGTACCCACCATTTTACCCTATGGGGAAAAGGGGAGACCTACAGCTCTATACTGTCACTCTTCTATAGTCCAAGTCTGATAGAAGGACGTGTGTATAATTTTCCTCTGTCTTGGAGAGTATGGAGACATTAGCTCAGACCTGATAAAAGGACACTCAGTGTGGCGGAAGCCAGAGGACATTACTTGGGTGTACAAAGCTACTCCTAGAGCTAGATTGAATGCTAGAACCAGTGTTGTTTCATGTGAGCAGGAGTTGGTGCTTTGTGTTGGTGATTCTTCACCCCAGGAAGGCATGACTCTACTGCTCTGTGTTTCACTGGGATCTGTCCCACTGGGAGGGATGGAGAAGGCACACCATTGGGTGATGCTGCTCTAGTGTCCAGCATTGGGTGAATCCAGGCAGTCTCAGAAAAAAGAGTCTATAATGGTAAGAGTGGAAGGATAAAGAAAGCTTATATAAGGGTTTCTATTTTTTCCCTGCTTACTTTATGCCTTCAGTTGCTTGCACAATGATTTGTTTTGACCATGCTTTTATGGCTGTTGTCAGTGTATGTAACCAGCTGTCTTGTGCGGATACTTGGTACACTCTTTGGTCTGTGTGTTAACAGCAGCAGAAAAGGCATAGACAACTGACAGCCACCTAAATGGGAGCAGATGGAAATTCCTCGTGTAAGCTTCACATGACTTCACCTCTAAGTGTTTGGATTCTTACTTTAGGCTTGTATTCTAGTTTGTTGGTTTTTTTTTTTCCAAGCATTGTTTTATGTAATAAAAAAAAATGTTGATTACATGCAGTCGCTAGCTGTGCCAGCCAAAATTGTACATCAAGCAGAGCTCTGTGACAGATACATTTAAATGGATTGGT